ACACACACACACACACACACACACACACACACACACACACACCCTCTCTCTCTCTCTCCTCTGTGTGGTGATCAGCTGATCTCTGTGCTAACGGCTCTCCGTCTCCTCACAGATCGACAGGCGCTGCTCCCGCTGCAACAAGGAGGGCATGGTGTACCACACCAGGCAGATGAGGTCTGCAGACGAAGGGCAGACCGTCTTCTTCACCTGTATAAACTGCAGGTAATGTGACATGTACTCATCCCTGTAAATGAAAGATGCTGCTGCTGCTGCTCCTGTGGGATCTCCTGCTGATCCTTTTCATTTGAATCTTTCAGATATCAAGAGAAGGAGGACTCCTGAGGAGAAGTCCGGCTCTCTGTGTGCTTCAGAGGGATTGTACATGACAACGGCCCTCCACCTGTTTATCTAATAATGCTGTCACTCTTCTTGAATTCTTAGCATTTTGAATGACATTTGACAAAAAAGAATCTTGACTCAGGGACCGCTTGTTAGTTTACTCCTACAGTTTTACAGAACTACTGGAGCTCATTGATGATCTTCTCCTGGTGAAGATTGGTATTGTTTGACGACAACGTTAACTCAAGTTGTATTATGTTTACCTTTTGAGCATCAAACAATCTTTATGTTCAGAAATTAAACTTGATCACATTTTTAAGGGGTAAAATATGAACATTCATACCATATCCCCTGGACATGCTTAATCTATGAGAACTTCCCAAATAAAATATATTCGAAGGAATGTGTTGATGCTGTTTGTTATGTTTTTTGTATGACTTGATAAATACATTGACCTTAATGTACTGGCTGAAGTCAACATCCAATGGGAATGGATGTGATCTTTAAAACACTTCTGCATTAAAGGTTAATGTATTACGCAGCTATACTCATAGACTATACATGTCATGTGGAAGAATCTGCTGTTAGCCAAAAGACAGCTAGAGGCTAAGTGCTTCAGAGCTCAGCTTCATCAACCAAAGGCAGCGTCATGTGACCAACTGATTTAATATCAGTACACTCAAAGTGCTCATTTCTATTTTATGTAAACATTTCTTTAGAAAATGAATGATTTCTTAAAGGTCACCTATTGTGCCTAATCCACTTGTTCATGTCTCTTCTACATCAACATGTGTCCCCTCTTCTCCGTGTCTCTTCTACATCAACATGTGTCCCCTCTTCTCCTGTCTCTTCTACATCAACATGTGTCCCCTCTTCTTCGTGTCTCTTCTACATCAACATGTGTCCCCATGTGTCCCCTCTTCTTCGTGTCTCTTCTACATCAACATGTGTCCCCTCTTCTTCGTGTCTCTTCTACATCAACATGTGTCCCCTCTTCTCCGTGTCTCTTCTACATCAACATGTGTCCCCTCTTCTTC